TAGTGAAGAGTCGACCGCCCCGCCCACCTGGCGACCACGACGCCCAACTTCATTTCTAATGGTTGCCTGATGGTGCGGTTGTTCCATTGCTGCTTCTCTCCACGTCGTGTGGTGAGAGTGAGGTGATAAGGGAAAACAGCTGATACCAACAAGTGAGAACTCGTGCAACTCGAGCACGTACAACTTCAGTTCAGCATGGGGCCCTATAGAGGACCTTCCTTTATGACCTTCTTCGGATTTTTTCATTCACTGATAGGTGATACCTGGCTACCTTTATATAACTAAATCTACAGCCGCATGACTCATCAAAGTGAACGCGGGTGCTACCTTTGGATAGGCTAAAATCCGCCATTGTTGTCAAATATTAGGTTGTCCGGAAAGTTCTCAGCGTTTTGGGTGTTTCACTTTAAACGATCGTAACTTTTTTAATACTCATCGGATTTAATCGAAATAGGCACCATTCGAATCAGCACACTTTTGCCAATGTGACAGCAGTCGAGAAATCCCATCAAAGTAAAAAACTGGGTGGTCGAAAATTCACGAAATCCACGAAGGCTTTTTGCCTGGTCACTGATTTGATGAGAGTATTTGCCCAGCAAGAAGTTCTGAAAATGTTTCGAAAATGCGGAATATTCGCCTAGTTGGGGAAGGCCTGAAGAATATGGCGGTTGAGGTAGAACTTCAACCCCCCAATTCGTTCAATTTATGGATAGTGATTTGTGAAACGTGTGGGCGGGCGTTGTCATGCAAAGGAATCGGACCCTTTCTTTGATAAGTGTTGGCTGCATCTGACAATTTTCGGTTCGCAAAAACAATTCGTCGATTTCTTCACAGTAGGGTTCTGCTGTGATGGTTTGGCCTGGTGATAAAAAGTTATAGTGGATCACACCAGCCGATGACCACCAAGCCGTGACCAGAATCTTTTTTTTGAGGGTTCGGCTTTGAAAATTACCTCGGTGGTTCGTCGAAATCCAACCACTGTCCGGAACGTCTCCTGTTATCATACATGACCCATTTTTCATCACAGGTGACAATTCGGCCCAAAAACAGGTCGTTTCTGCTGCGCAAAAGCAATGCAGAAGGAACCTCGAGACGTGCCGATTCCTGCCGGTCACTCCGATTGTGGGGCACCCAATTGTCGAGTTTTTTCACCTTCCCAATGCGTTCCAGACCATCTGCAACAGTGGATTTGCCAACGCCTAGCTCTTCTGCTATCTCTCGAACTGTTTGGGATGGGTCAGCCTCCAAAATCCCCTAAAATCCTCGTCAGATATTGCTTTAGGTCGACCGCTATGAGGTTCATCTTCAAGGCTGAAATCTCCAGAACGAAATTTGTTGAGCCATTGCCGCACAGTGCTTCTCGTGAGCCACTATTGGGCCCCACACTCTGGCTTAATTTGTGAGCTGTCTTTCGATTTGCGATTGCCCCAATGATAGTCGAAGTCCGAACTCTGCCTGAAGTCACCATCGAATCGTCTCCTCATTGATCTTACGAAAATTCCCAGTCGCACTGTTTTAAGTCATGAGCGATACTTATTTCGTGGATACTTCGCTATTTTTCACGTTTTCCAATCATCTTTATGAAGATCAGAGCCGCCATCATTTCTTTGGAAATCATCTTCCACCCATTTTATATCCCTTACCTCTCCCTCTCTCTACAATTTATATCCCTTACCTCTCCCTCTCTCTACAATTCTATTTAAGGTGGCAACAAGAAATCCGGTTGCTCTGGGATTCGCTGCTCTGATGGGAACCAATGTCAAATGGTTTTGTTCAATGGATGTTTTAACGGAAGATGTTCAATGAGATCGCAACATCCACAATGTCTTCCAAAAGGTGGGTCTATTTCAGCAACAGTTACTTGGATGCTGTGCGGAAATCAGTGCAGAATTATTTGATTTCAAAATTAGTACCGCAGCGTAGAGCTTACAGCTTTGGTCAACTTCTTTTCGGATTTCACCGCACGACTTAGCTGCTTTCAGCACTGTAACAAAAATTAAAATTGCTTTTCGGCCTGTCCAGTGAAGTGCGCAAATTTGCAGCTGAACAAGGGCTTCTCATACCTCTTTTGTCAATTAGCCGATCTCATCGAGAAAGAGAGGAAGAGCTCGGACATGAACAGATTTCGGATCCGATCCCAAGAGCAGGTCCTCAATGGTGGCACCAGTTGCTATTGTCCCGTACAGGGCACGTCGTACGCTGAAGAACCCTGGGAAGGGGTCGCATTTGGTCGCTGGAGCGAGTAGGGTCGTACTGGCCTTTGAGCAGAAAGGTTTTCTTTGCTGACCCATCTCGGTATGTCTCGTTTCCGTGAGCTAAGTAATGTTGAGGGGAAGGTTGCATTTTGCAGAATTTTCCCCAGCAGCAAGACGAACCCTGCTCTCGTAGACCTTTTGCTGACAGTCTCGATTTCACAGTACCTATTTGACTTTACATCAGAGGTGCTACCCTAAAGAAAGCTGTCGCTGTCGTTCCTCACATGACAGTAAGAATCTCATCACAAGTTATATCTCAGTCACGATTTTTGGAGTGGAAATATCTTGCTACTCCTTGAAGGGCTAAAGAGATAGTAAACGCTGGTAATTAGTCGTATTGCTTGAGCCACTTCGCCCTTCTCCTTGATGATCTCTCCTTCGTAGCATTGTAGAGAGGAGCAGTGTACCAGTGAAAAAGGGCTAGTGGTCCAAGTGACTCCACCCACATTATCAGCGTGGAATATGCCTTTAAGTGCGCTCCTCCATATAGCGGGACAGAAATGGTACGTCTTAGAGCTTTGCTGTGAGAGCGGCGGGGGCTGCGATATTGTGGACAGCAGCTGCGTAGGGTATAGAGGGATGAAAGATGAATTGCCTTGCTTTTTTGCCGTCCACCTCTCTTATCCACATGCTCCCTGCGCCCCTGACTGGACTATCTAGCGATGTTCACAATCACCTTGGACACACCCTCTTTATCTTTGTGATACGGACTGTATGTAGCCTTTAAAGTGTCTCTAAGACTGCTTGTAATTCTCTCTTATTTTTGAACTGCAAAATTGTGGGGTTGGAATTGAACTCATATATTCTTCAGATCTGGCGAATATATGCCAAACAATTCGCTGTGGTCAAGGGTATGAATGCAGATTGGTACATCGTGCCTGCTCCAGTTGGCCATGCTTCCCTGAGCCTGAGTGCTTACCAAGAGGTAAGGACGAGATTTGCCGAACTTTTCTTCTACAGCGTCTATTTTTCGATATAACTACAGCGAGGTACCGCTCGGATTGTATACTACTTGGAACGGTTCATGCTGATCTTTTGGGCGGATTCAGGCCTGCCTCTGTGCATTTCTCACGAACGCGTCCCTCTTTTTTCATAGTATTTAAAGGGAAACGCTCGCCAGTGAAAAAGACCACAATGGGAGGCCTGACCTCCTTTTCTCCCCAAGCATTTATGCGTCTACATATACTCGAAATCCCTGAGATCGGGTAGGCGTGGCCGCATGTTTCAACTTAACCTGAAGGTGTCTATGCTTCTGGTGAGATATTTTCATCTTGACACAATTGTTGTCGTGTCTCTGTCCAACACAGAACAAGATCAGTTGTCCCAGACTGGAATATTCCACGAGTAACCAATGTTCAGAAGCCACGCCCACTCTAGCTCAGGGATAAGGAGTGTACAACAGAGGTTAATTCCAACATTACCGCACTAGAAATGATTTTTAACTTTGTTTCGAGTGTAGCGGTTTTCGGATTCAAAAAAGTAGAAGAGCCACCCCCTCCTCCCAGCTGACACGTAACAGTCTGCACTACTATTGTGCTGTCCTGGAGCCCAGTGGTATTTGAACGTTTAGCAAAAGTGTAAAGCTCCAGAAGTTTGTTTGTCCCGCGATATTTTGGTGCTGAGCATTTTCATCAGGGCTGAACTAATACTTGTAAACTTTCAAAGTAACCTTCACCTTTGGAGTGAGAACTCTCGGAATTTATCACCGTCTCTTAATTTAGTGATATAGAGATTTCTACGAATAATTAACATCTATTTTCTACTCTCAAAAAATAGGATAGCAATTTTCCCTCCAAATGTAGTGATATTTTCAGACAACCGCACAACGTTAACGCCATTCCATCCTTCTAATACGACCCATGGTAGGTAAATAAGGTGTCAAAACTCAACTCTGCTTATGAGGAGTTGAGCTTCTTGTTACATTTTATCACTTATGAACGAGTTTCCTTTAGGCTCCACTCTCAACTACACCATCTCAACACCACGTATGAATTTCACAACAGGTTAGTACCTTATCGGGCTGTGTGAAGTTTAGAAAAAAAGCAGAAAAAAGTACAGCTCACATCGGATGATAAAAAGGGCCGTCCCAGCCAAGCGATTATGGGCACGGCGGATCCCGACTTTCCTGCCGACCTTCCTCACTCATACATACATACGATTTCGGTGCAAACGCTGGGGCAGGGGAGCTGGATTTGATTAGGCGTCAGCCCGTTTTCTTTCTTCTCAATAAAAAATTCTTGTCACTTGTTCCTTTCGTCAGTTGTGGAGAACGGCTTGGCGACAAGCTAAACCCAGCCCTCTGACACGCTCCAGCTCCTGCTCGCATTATCTTTTGCTAGAAAATGAGCTGAATGAAAAAGGAACTGAAGCACCGAGAATTCGA